AATCACATCATTTAAATTTTGTGTTACATATAATTTAATTAACTAATATTTGAACTACTCGAAAATTAATTTTGTATTATGTTTGTATCAATAACATAATCACGTGTGCATTAAAAAAAAAAAAAAAATTGAAAAGACACCACTGGTTTTTAATATAGTAGAAAAACTCTAATGTAAAAACTTGATTTTGGTATCATACAAATGCAAGTAAATACATTGTTTGTATTTTAAATTTTCTAAGCTAAAAAAAAAACATAATACACACCATTTACAACAATAATATGTATAAAATAATACAATTCATTTTTAATTTGAATAGTATACGACATAAATATTATAAGTTATTAATCACATTATAATTTTAAAAAAATAAATACAAATTGTACATTTAACTGCTAACTTTGAATCTGTGACTTTTTGCTTCTGAAATTAAAAATCATAAAGGTAATATTATTCTAAATATCCATTAGCTTAAGTGCATAATTTGAATAATATTACAATAAAAAAAACCAGACATCTAATTATCTATACATGAATAACCTAACTTATCTCAGAATCGTTTTTTTTGTTTTGTTAACTATGATTTATTGTTTATAGATACAAATAAAATCACATTATTATCCTACCTTCTTAAATTTTGGTTACCTAAGTTATTTTGGTGTATTCTATCATTCTAAAAAATAGTAGGAAGGTAGAAAAAAATACAAATTATAGTGCCCTATGAATTTTTTCCCTGGTTATGGTACCTACCATATTTGTTTTCATAAAATACAAACTGATAGGTATTATTATTCTATATAATGTAGATAATCTATATTTCTTAAAGCTACTTACTATTAAGTTTTTCATTTGCCATCTTTGGATTATAGAAAGTGTCTTTGTCAATACTGGGCAGTTTGTCTGGTGGACCTGTAAAATTGGTAAATTATTAAAATGCTTACTTATCTATAATTTATTTGTACAAAATATGAAGACATTTAATGGAAAATAATTACTTAGGGTTATTTTTTTGGTTAATAAAAAGTAATATTATTTTCTAAGATAACTTTTTGTTTAATTTATTATAATATATATAAATATGTATTAGGTTCTAAGTGAAGCGAGAAATGTATTGGCTTTATAATGATATTTATTTATTTTTTTATCTGTGATTTGTGAATAACTTTCCTAACAGAAATCCTGTTCCAACTTTCAAATGTAGCACCTTTTCTGAAAGGAAATTTTACTAGGGAGGTCATATATTGATTTTCCAAGGGTTTTCATAATAAATGGGAAAAACGTAGGAAAACCGGGAAAATTTACAAAATGTATTATTTTCAAATTGTAAATATTATGACCTTTCAAAATATATTTAACCGAATTCTGCTTAGAATCGTTTTTCGTTAGCAATGATTTATGTTTTTGTTCTGATAAATATTAAATTCCCCCTATATCCTTCCCAACATCTTACCTACAACAGTGGCCCACCCATAGGATACATCGGTTTTTTTTTTAAATGAAATTTGAAGTAAGTAGTACCTGCTGTATTATGTATTATGTAGATAGGCATCTTACTAGATACCATATTGTGCAGTGGTTTTTAACATTTCCCTCATATATTATTTGACGATAATAGTATGTAGGTATACCTGCTGTTGCGGGAAATTATCATTATAATAGTTAAAATAAATAAGTAGGGAAGTTTATTATTATTTTATTCTTTATTAATTTACTTTTGAGTACATTTTGTTGGTTTACCATGAGTATTATGACGTCGTACAATATTTTTGGGAATACTGCCGGGAATTGGTTGATCGGTTTGGGTTGGAAATATTAGCATAATACAAATTGTTATTACTAGTAGTAAGTAAACCTCAGTGGGTTAGGTTAGATACCTACCTATCTAAAATACTTATAATATATAAGTATCTAAATAACTTAATAGGTACTTGTATATAATTCGTAAGTTGTAACCAAAGCTATAGGTACCTGCCTGCTACTTAATTGTTTAACTAGTTATATTTTTTATCATTCTAATTTAGTTAGCCAAAAGATTAACCTTTAACTGTTTAACTAGTTACTGCCCAAATTTGCTGCCATCTTGACCCGTTCGTCCTGCAAATGAACGACCGGTTCGCGGTTTGTGACGAAGCCATTGTTAAATAGATAATATTGTAAAGTTGAGTCTTAGTGAAAGGTTTCCAATCCCTAACGGTTTTAACCACCCACCAGGGACGGGTTGGGTAATTATATAGTTAATCGAGTTCCACATTCAACCGGCCCGGTGATTAAATGTCCCCCTCCCAAAAAAAAAAAATTACAATATGGGCTACGTCTGATAACGGTGGTTATTCCAAATCTCAGTAATTGATCTTAGATAATCGCTATCTTAAACGCTAATCGTTCATTCTTATAGAATATAAAAATTATTCCATTATTGAAACCCAGTTATGACTACTATACTAGCATCGATCAAAATCAATGAGGTAGCGGTCCATCGAGTTTTGCTCGATCGCACGCCGACCCAATTCCACCATCCCGTCTGCATTTTAAAAACAATGTTAACACAACGTAACGAAAAAAAAAATGTCTGGGTCTATTGGGGTAAAACTCACATTCAACGTTACCCGGGGGTATTAATTATTTTTATTCAGATTATCGTTAAAATTATTATGATTTATTATTATTATAGATATTTATAGTATATAGTAGATAGATACTAAGTACTAGATAACATATTCTTTTTATAATTATTTTTACATTTTATAATCTCAGAATCTCGGTTCTTGATACATTTTCCGAAAGGGAGAGTCGCATCAACTGCGAATATTAATATTATGAAATAATATATTATGTGATATTATATTTACATGTAAATATGAGCATCAATATGAGCCCGGAGTGCGTTATCGGGAAAAACATAAATTCTGAAAAGAAAAATATATTTTTTAAATGGATACTGTTATTGGATTTTATTATAGCTCCAAATTAAAGTACAGCAATTCTTAAAACGAGGAGTGCTGCTACAGTGGCGTATTTGAGGGCGAGCGATGGGTGGATTGACCCCTCCTTGGAATTTTTCCGACTGTTATTTTTCAATCACGGCTATAGGCTACGGGTAATACAATAATATAGTACCTGTTTATAACCGTGTTGTTTATTATTTCTTGGGAATTTTTATCAGCGTTACCAAAAAGTACCTAGTGATAATGATATAACTAGGGTAATTTTTTTTATCTACAATACATAATATAGGGATATCGATGTGGATGTACAAAACAGTAGTCATCACAGATTGGTATGTATGAGAAAAAAGATAGATATTGCTTTAAAGTTGTTTATAAATATTTTCGTGTATGATTTTTCAATTATTTTTATGAATATATGACGTGTACACTATACATATTATTATGTATATTATGTCACGGCCGTTACGGGTAAACGAAGAAATCGTGCGAATTTCAGAAATATCCGTGCAAACTGCGAAGTGTCCACCATACTTGGGCAAAACGTCATGTTTCGGATTTTTTCCGGACAAATCTATATGGTATAGTGAATAACATCATCTGGGCAAAACTGTAACGTCCATAAATTTCAATTTTTCACATTTTTGATATTTGCCCGATTACCGTTTTTGATCGTAACATGTACAATACATTATAATATATGCATAATTTTTTTTTTGTATATTATTAATTATATTTATACCTATAAACTATTTATTTTTCATTTTAGGTACTTCAAAATGTATTTTTTATATTATTATTTATTAGTATGCACTTAGATTATTTGATTAAAATTTAACTATTAAGTACCTATTCTATAAAAATATACAATTTAAACTGCTTTACAATAGGTATCCGATTAAAACTTATTATCATGTAGGTACCTACAATGTGCATTGTACATTCCTAAGTTTTTTTCTGTAAAATTATGTCTTCTGTCACTTTATATGTGTTTTAATTGTGAAAACACACGTTTTACATCGAAATTTGCTATCGATTGTTTGTTTGTATTATAATATAATATAATTATGTTAGGTATAAAATTCCAATGTTTCATATTATAACAATATAATATAGCAACGATAAAGTAACATAAATTAGAAAATAATATCTGTTTAATAAATGTTATGATAGATTATGGAGTACGAAAGTACCAATTAGTATACATTTTTATAAAAAAAACCTGAAACGTGCAATTTTGTGCAAAATAAATCTTACTTTAAATTAATCTACATCTCTTGATTTGGATTTGTAGGATTTTCTATAGGAATTAGAACACGGCATAAAAAGATATAATCGCACAGGAATCTGGTCTTTACTTATAACTTATACTTTAAAGTGGATAACAATTATTTTTATTAAATTAAGAAGTGGTAATAATGCACCTATGTATACTTACCATTGCTCACTGAATAAATCAATAATTAAAAAATAAAAAATAAATTTATTTATTTATCATTATATATTATACCATTGTAGGTAGGTTAGGTTAGGTAATGAGAAGATAATAAAACATAAAATAATATAATAAATATTGTTGTTTTTTGGCCATTTTCGTCATTATAAATAAATACTTACTCGAACGGCATTTATAATAACTAATAACAAGTTGGTGGGTCATTGCTATTCTGTCTGAAAAAATAAAAAAGTCATAATGAGTTCCTTCGAATTCAATTTATTTATCTACAAATCATCTTCAGAGTTACAAACAAAACAATTCGGTTTTTTAAATGTTTGATGCGAAAGTTACATAGGTGATTATGAAAACGCATTTTTATTTTATTTTTTTTTTTTTTTCATAATAATGGCCGTATATTTATATAATATACAATATATGATGGTTTATTTACTAGTGATATTAAATTTAAAATTAAAAAGATTATTTCAAATTAGGAAAACCCGAGTACTACCTCAGGACGGTATATGATGCTACGGGTTGAGCAAATCCATGGTCCCGAGCTCCTACTGGTGGAAAGCTCGGGTGGATGTACTCGAGGTGGGGGATTGGAAGTTTAGTATGAAAGTGGCTGATTCCAATTAGTTTGAATGAAAGCGAAGGAGGAGAAAACCCGATTACGGAATATTGAATATTATAGCCTCTTATAGCTTATTTAAAACATTCCGTAGTTATTGATGATAAATAGATTAAAATAAAATAAAATCACCCAAACCACCATTATATTATTAGATTAACGTGGGGTATAAAAACTTTATTCTGTCATATTAGTCATGGTGATTAATATGAAAACAATACAAATTCAAAATAATCAAAAACTTAAATATGTCAGTCTAAAATTTAATTTTAATTAACACCAGTACATACTGTAGACAAACCGTCATAAATGACAATATTTTTAATTTTCAGAATATTATTAAAATATAAATTATCTCTAAGCAATACATTGATTTTAGATTATGAGTGTAACGAAGAATATATTGGTTTTAGAAAGGTATTTTTTATATTTTTGTTTTTTTTTTTTTTCTATGAATACTTTTTCAATCAGAAAGCTTAGTCCGATGTATACGATATGGACCCTTTTTATGGGGTAATACTTTAGGGAGGCCACTTTTCGATTTTCTTAGGAATTTTCTCATCAAATGTGAAAAATCCCAAAAAAATAATCGGAGGAAAAACGAGAAAAATGTGTGAAATATATTAGTAAAACATTACGATTTTTTTTCTCTGGACAACTTTTCTATCAGCAATTTTGCCCCGATTTACAATGATGGCACTTTTTCTAAAAGGAAATTCAACTGGGAAGGTACTTTAAGCAGGTCATTTTTTGATTTTCCCAAGAGTTTTCCAGCAAATATAAAAAACTGGAAAAAACGTAGGAAAAACCGAAAAATCGATATATTATTGAACAAATATTATAAAAGAAAATATATTTAATTATTTTACTATAAAAAGCATTAATATCAAATGATTCGTTTTTCGTTAGCAATGGTGTATCATTGCTTACAGCTGTACATTAAATTCCCTTCTGTACCCTAACTACCAAACTTCCCACCTACAACAGTGTCGGCACCCGTTACCATTATCCTAGGACAGCTTTTTTTTTTATGTGTTAGTGTCACTTTTACTAAAATAAAAAAAAATAAAATTTTAAATTCTATTATGAAAATACACTATAATAGGTTTGATCGAGACTAATAGGTATAATGTTATACGTTATAGCGGTCTATCATTTTGTACAGAAAATGTTTGTGATTCTACCGATATCAATATGTCGAAACTATCAATTTATGAATTATGGTGGTTTTGTTCTAAGGGTGTGATATATATTGTAGATATTTATACTCATATAATATACATTACTTCGTCTCAGACATCTCATCATGTACGAATAATAGGTTTCACCGTGTAATGGATCAGCTGAAAATGTAGGTACACAGTTATTATTGTTTTCGTAATAAATGCATATTCCGACGAAGTATCTATAAATATTGATATTTCAACAGTTTAACTTGTAGTTCAATTAATCGGAATATTAGGTGACTATCACCGGACTAACTTTAGGTAGGTATACACGCCGACAGGTTTCTGTCCCGTTGATGACAATTGAAATTTTACGTTTTTTATTCTAACTAATACCGGCAAGTACTTATCTATACCTATTATATTTAGTAATAATATGCTATTACTTATGTTCAAAATCTATTATTATTATTAGTTTTACATAAATCCATCTATAGATGACATATCATCTATTAAAAATAAACGATTGATCTGGCGGTATTCAAACAGCAAATTATTAATTTTTAGCTTATAAATTTTAATTACATTTTATAAAAGACTTTTAGCTATAACATTAATCAATTAATACCCGATGGAAATACAGAAAAAGACCATTACCCAAAGATAATGGGTATAGCACGTACAGTAGTGGATTTACACCGGGAGGTCCAGGACATCTTGATCCCCCCAAACACGTATTAATAATTTTAATAAAATGTCGTCTAAAAAAAAGGCATCTCTACATTTAATACATTTGAAATACATGTGATTTTTCAGGACTCACTGTGCACGTATATTATTTTCATTATTGATTTTTATGTAAAATAATAATTCGAGCGAGTTTTTGTAATATCATTTTGGTTTTTTTGTTTTTACATGGTAAGGTTAATATTATTAACAATAAATGTTCAATACTTATTCATTGCAAGTTGAATATTTGTTGAGACTAATAGGAAAAACTGAAAAACTATTACCATAATCCCAAAAAGTGACGAAACTATAATCATATTATTTTTATACGCATAAGAACAAATTAGGGGGTCTTAGCGTCACATATCGGAACTTCAAAAATAAGAATCACCCTAATATACCTACCTCACGTATGAATAAAATTGAAATAAAAAAGTTAAATAGTCATTTGTCTCATTAGTCAAATATAGATAATAATAACTTACTATCTATTAATTGACGCAGCCAACCTTCCATGTTTATTCCTATAATTTAAAATTAAACTGAGATAAATATTATAAAATATGTTTTTTAATTTACTATTAGAATCCAAATTCTATTTCATTAAACAAGTTTATATTATTCACTCTTCTATACACACATATACACACATGCGAGTATAGAGATATTAATAGCCAAATAAAAAATGGACATGAAAAAAAGTCTAAAAATTTTCTCTGGTTATTCTTGTACTTAGTCATATTTTCCACAGACCATTATTACCGACCACCCGCGTCCCTCACACATTCCCTATTTGATATTAAATAGGTAATATTTATTACTAAGAGTATTTTTATGAAATACTTTTGCTTATGTTTTTAAATCAAGGTGTACGTTTATTTATTGAAAGTTGCCACTGGTGTTAGATTTCAACATTTTTTGATTTCCCAGGTTATTTTTAGTTGGACACTATATTATATATGTATTGAAACGGTGCTCCGGTATGACAGTAACCTGTTTCAGTTAAATAATGGTAGTCGACAGGATATAATAGTCGGCAATATCATTGATGATGAACTCAATAATATTAATTTTTTAATGCTATTCACAGCATTTTTGTCTCGTTACAAATCGTTAAATAATGGATTTTATAAAACTTAACTCGACCTTTCTAAAACGAATTTAGTTAATCCAGTAATTTGATCCTACATTATTGTACAGATATAAACATATACCTAATATTTAAATATTATTGAACATTTTTATTAATACTATTGATACTGTTAATTTGTTTTTCAGCTTTTTTTCTTATTTCTCTTGAATTTCTAGTACAATTTTAAAATCCCCTGATATTTCCAGGTTTTTTAGGTTTTCCAGATAACGTAGCAACCCTGCTATTTTCATTTTGTATTTTTATTACATTTATATTATTTCCATTCTATAGTTTTTATTAGTTTTTTTCTAAACTTTATATTAAGCTTATTTTTAGTCCACGATGTTTAAATTTTGAATTTTAGGAAATATATGTACGGCTGTATGCCGACGTTCATTTTAAGATTATGATTCCAGAAGTTTAAATGAAATAAAATTAAATGAATACAAATAATATACTTACTTTTTTTAGATCCTGTAGGATGAATTACTTTATTAGAATACGTTAACTATTATAGTTTTATTACATCAATCAAATATTTCTAGTTCTAACTCCGAATGTATTATAATATAGTAGTGATCCAATATTTCAGTTATTAGTTAAATATCTACCTATTTGGGTTAAATAAAATAAACTCTCGTGTTCGTAAACTTAATAATATTTTCTTCACCAGGTAGGTATGAGTATTAACATTGTTTAAGGTATTACGTACTGCATTTTTGTACTTACTTTGTATAATGTCTATATGCATTATGCAATAAAAATGATCTTTGATTAGTATTTGTACTATTTCAAACTTATTCAGAGTTGGTTATAACTCATAACTTATAAATAATAATATAAAATAAATGGATAATATTATTATAATGTATAAAATATAATATATATATGTTGCATCCACTTGATGAAATTGTCCATATCATGAAATGGAAACCGTTTGTTTCCACTTGGTGAAATAATTACAATTTTCATGAAGTGGATATCTTTTCACGAAATGGATGCTATAAAATTTCATATCGTGTAATTTTTTTCATCAAATGGTCATCCACTTGATGAAACAAAATATAATATACATTTAATTCATTGTATACTGCCATTGGTTGTACTAATACATAAACTATATATTTTACAGTCACATATTGTCATGTAAATTTCCACAGCTGGTCTAGGAGTGGCATATGTATTCATCAAAGCAGTACGCAGCTTAACGATACCACCATGTCCAGTACGAATATGATAATCATTAATCTTATCATATAAATCTTCATGCGCTACTGTATACCAAATAACAAATTTAAATATAGTTAGAATAGGCATAACCATTTTCGACCAAAATCATTTTTATTATAATAAAATTAACAAGTGTTAATTAAACACTTCTGCTACAGTCAGTAGTAGATCCAGAAGTCAAACAAGGGGGGAGGGGCGAATTAAAAAAAAATAATTTACCCTTTTTTCTATTTAACCTGCATTGGAGGTTAATTATTTGTATTATTTCTAAATATTCATAAAATGAATGGTATACAAGTATACGAATGAACGAGTCGTATAATATATTAATATAACATAGATATGTAAATATAAAATCGTTGGTTTTATGAAATACAGATAAGATAATGTGTTCTGCTGTTTCCCAACATATTCTGTGACTATTAATAATTTATTATTAGCGATTGAACGATTTCCGGCGATACGTAATCAGATAATAAGAATAATAAGAACCAGATAAAAATTAAAAACAAGTCTGAAATTTAAAAATGATTAATTATTTATTTAGAAACTATGAGACAGAGTACATTTTTCTATTTCACGTGGAAAATATTTTTACAAGTATTTTTTGTTAGTAATAAATAGCGCTGTGAATTTAATGCATTATAAAAACCTTAAAAAATGCATTAAAAATGCCAAAAAAATGAAATAAAATATGTACTCAAAACACAAAAAATACACTAAAATGCCAAAAATTGCAGTATAAAATGCATTTAGAATGTTTTTTAATTTCATTTTTATATATATAATGATATTAGTATATTAAATGTATAAAAATTGATTTATTTAATAAAACAAATTATCAAAATGTAGAGAGAATTTGAATTTTGATTTTGAAGTTGATTGATTCTTTTATAATTCTTTACGCCTTAAACATTTTTTTTTTAAATTTGATTTGTGTATTTATTTTGTTTGAATAATAAAACAAACTTAAAATTTTATAAAATATAAAAATTTACTTATATACAGTCTGTGTAAAATAAAAAAAAACGTTTTCAAAGATTTTAATTGATGGAATTTTGATTAAAGATACCGGAAAATGAACTGAAAAAGGAAAATAGGACCTAAAACGGTAAAAAAATACCCTAAAATCGATCGCCCCTATCGTCCCCCTCCCCGTGGATCTGCGCCTGGCTACAATTTACTTTTGTAGCAAATAGTAATAATGTCTTTTCTTTTTATTTCTATAAATACAAATTATTTTATTACGCATACTAGAATATTTTAATTTATACAATATTATAACTTAAGTACATATTACTTTAGGATCTATTTATAATCTTTTGTACAATTTCTTCGATGTCTATACGAGTATTTGTTTTTTTTTGGCCTGGATGTTTTTCACATAAATATCCGGTTTTTTATAAAATGTAGTTTTTGCATCAAAATCCATTTTATTATTTTTATCCATTTATCCATTTTATATTTACGTGATATAACATGGAAACTAAGTAAAATGCCATTTTGCCATAAAATGGCATATTACCATGCCATAAAATGCTATATTACAAATACATATGACGACAAATAAAATCAATTGTAAAGTTAAATACTTAGCCAGCATATTGTTTAACTACTTGGTAGGACGTGTAAGTATACTTAAATAAATACAAATCAGTAACCACTATAGTAAATTTTATAAATTAATTAATAATTTATAAACAATATGTTGACTGAGTATTTAACTTTACAATTGATCTTATTTGTCGTCAAATTTTATCATATTCTATTTATTAAATCATATTTTTAATATTATAAAATGGCATTTTACTTAGTTTCCACGTCTTTTAAAGATTTAATCATTACTAAATTTAATTTCTTTTAACTTGGCTTTTTTTAAATGGAGTTATAACGAAATGTTTTTGATGTGATACCTATCAGCTATTTTTTATAAAAAAAAATCACGATGTTATTTGACTTTGTTAAACCTGATGATGAATTTTAAACTCGAAACTGGTTTTTAATTATAAACCTAATAACCTTATAACCAATGGAAGTTTAATATGAATTAAATGAATATTATATTTTGTTTTACCAAGTGGGCGGCCATATGATGAAACAAATTACACGATATCAAATTTTAGTATCCATTTATTGAAAAAATATCCACTTCACGAAATTTTTAATTATTTTACTAAGTGGAAAAAAAAAACACTTTCCATTTCATAAATTGGATAATTTTTCGTGAAATGGACAATTTCATCAAGTAGATGCGACATATATATTATATCGGTTAGAGTTGATTCGGAAGGATCCTCAAATAGAGGGCCATATGATAGATATTACTGATAGAATGAGATAGTGGTAGTAGTGGCGAAATTTTGGGAACTTCAAGGTGTTAAGAAGATGTTATTATGTCAGTTAAGTGAGTTACAGAGCTATAGAATTTACGAGTATAAATATCACATCAATTGTATATTCACTCATTATGTTTGATATAATAAAAATAATAAATGTATATATAAAAAGACAGTAAAAAGTTGTAAAATTAATATTATTAATATTCACGTAAAATAATATTAATATTAATTGTTTTGTAATTTTGTAGTTATAATATATATTGCTAAGTAATAATCAAGATATATTGTACTTACCGATTTTAAGAACTGTGTGTATGATACGAGTATATAAATAAATCAAAAAATATGTAGCGGTTCAATGTTTTAATATTTGTATAAACTACATAAATGTATACACGGTCATGTCATTAGGAAATAAGAATTAGAAGCAAGAAGATAAGTAATGAAAAAAAAAACGTAAGCGGAAAAATATGGACGGAGATCAAAAAGCGGTGGTTTGATGTGACTAATATGAAGAAAGCTGATGGGCGATTGGATAAAGTAGAAGTTTATAATGACGAGGATGGCTGACCCCAAATAATTAGGAGAAGGAGAATAATAAAACATAGATTCATTACAATTATCGATTTTAATTAGGTTTTTTAAATAATATTTTTTATTTGTATTTATTTTTTTTTTAACGAAAGCATTATTAAATAGTAAATACAGCATGGTCACATACACATTGTTTCTATATAATTTTAGTGAAAATCAATAAATAAAATAGATAGGATATTGCAGAGCCTAAGGCCCGGCGTCCACCAAAGTAACGTGACTCGTGATATGACATGTGACGTGACGAGTGATTTAGCAAGTGACATGTCATACTAGTTATTTGTCATCACATACATACAAAAATCATTCATGTCCGTACACTGATCAAACCTGTCAGATCATGTATCAGTTTTGTGTAACTTCTGAAATTTTGTTGATGACAAAAGTACTGCATGTTCTACTTTTGTCACTTGTCATCAGCTCTCCACCGTGGAAAGGTAAGTATTATTATAATTATAATAACATAATATAGAAAATATACAGGGTCATGCTCACGGGGACGGGGTTAGGGTGTTCAAACCCCCCCCCCTCATGGACACTTTACAAATATATTTACTTACATATAATTATAATTATTTTTTTGGGAAAAAATCTTACTAAATCACTCGTCACGTCACTTGTCATATCACGAGTCACGTTACTTTGGTGGACGCCGGGCCTAAAATACTGTGTCCCCTGAAAATTATAATGTGTCCCAAGTTTATAACGTGTTTTTAGTTTTAATTGTAGAAATAACTAACAAGTAGGAATTTTAACAGAAATAAATCTTGTATATCTCAATAAAAATTAATAACAACTTCTTTGTTATCAATATTATACAAATATACCATAAGCTTTAACCATAGTCGATGATTATAAATATTATATAATCAAGACGTACTATTTTTAATCGTGTATATAACGAATACACCTTGTGTCTAAATTATACTAATAAATATACTAAGTACTATTTATTTGTTATCTCAAATTTGTGACAACAGCTTATTAGAGTTATTATTGTTTTGACGATGTGTTCATATTTATGTGTATTTATCAGTAAAATATTTTGAAATTTTACTTATATTTATAGTATTGATATCATATAGTAATATCAATACATTCCTCGCTGTGCTCAGAATCTAATATATATATAGGCAATATGGAAATTAGTCTTTTGCGAAAGTACTAAGCTCTTTGCAATGGGGTAGCCCGTTTGCGAACTACTTATTTTTTTTTTCTAAACGGCCTACTATTTTTAAAACTTATTGCATCAAGACTAACAGCAGTTAGGCCTTTTAAGAACTACAATCATTAAAATATAGTAAAAAACCATTTTACTTATTTTATTTTAAGGGTAATTTATTACTTTTACAAAAAAATATTAGTATTGTATAATATTATATTTATTCTCTAAACTGTA